AAAAAAACGGAAAAAAAAAAATAAATCACTTGTTTTCTCAGCATTAATAAACGATAAACGGGAATCGATTGCCTTTTGAGGTCCGTGTTCCCTTCGTCATTCCTCTGCGAATTTTCTTCTTGTTTTTATCTGACAGGAAAAGAATCGCTGTACTGATTTAGCGATTTTAGCTTGTAATTGTAGAGAACTTGAGGGAATAATTTTTGTGGTGTGTGGATAATATTTCACTTAATTATGGTTCCTAGCTTACCTTGACCAGTAGTTAAAAAGTGATTAAACTAGAAACAATGTCCAATATAATTTTTCATTTTTTGGAATGGTTGTTATGTCACATTTTCAAGTGAGAGAAAATTCGAGGAAAAAATAAAAAAAATTGAGCAGAGGTAATATATTAAAAGTTATAATTAACATGATAATCACATATTAGTTATATACTTAATAATTCATCTAACTATACTATTATTAGATAAAACATTAACATAATAATTCCTTATTTAAATAACTCAGAGAATTTCAACTTACTTTGGTCATTTGAATAAGAATATTAAATCTAATAACTAAAGACGGTGTTCAAGAAAAAGTTCAGAAATAAGAATCATTAAATAAAAAAAGAAGAAAAAGTAATTAAAAAAAAATTAATAACTAAAGATATATAACTAACGAATAGTAAATTCTATACGAAAATATATAGTGGTAAATAGCAGGTCATTTTTATTTCACAAGTGAATATTGTATTTTTTAAAGTGAAAATTTTATACTTTATAATTCAAATGGTAGGGCAACTTGGTCTATGTTTATTGTTTGACAAATAAGTTAGCTTATAATTTATTTGGTTAGCTTATAAGTTTCGTTTAGTAGAACGAACTTATCTCATAAGTGATAAGCTCTTTGGATAGCTTTTCAAATAAGCCCGTTGAAATTTTATTTCAGCTAATTTTACCAAACAGTTTTATAATATAAACTAAGTTTTCAGCTATAAGTCATAAATTATAAGCTATAAATTCGAAAATTACTGATAAACTATAAGCTAGCTAATCAACGAATATTACAAAACATAGTCTTCATCTGAATGCTTTGTAGACCATATAAAGGTCATTATTTTACTGCCATCTTTGTTAACAAACTAAGTAGTTTTGGGTAATCGTCCACGATAAAATTTACAGGTTTTAGATGGATAATTAGATTACAAGCCGACTCAAAAACCCCAACCTGAGCCCCTTTTTCACACCAAAGCATACAACAAGATTGGATTAGTAATGTATAAAGCTCAATGAGTTACCAAAACACAGCCTTTTAAAGACGAGTACAGATAAACTTGCTGGGTAGCAATAACCCACAAGTTAAAAGAAGGCCCCAGCCATGAATCTATGGTTCAACACAGCATCTGCAATTGGCCTCTTTCGAAAATCACGGTTTAGCATTGCCTGAGAATGAAAAAATAACAGAGTGCAGTTACAGGCTTAATGACACAAGAAAGTAAAGAAAATGCATTTGGAACAAAATACACAATATTTTTTGGGCGAAAAAAATCGTTTTACCAGACAGGCCTTGCTCAAGGTAAATCAATAGTGTGTTGTGCAAAAATTCGATGATAATATAGCTTCATTATTCAGTAATATACGTGGATTGGGCACATAGAAATTGCAGACATAAAATAGTTATGATGGAAGAAATTAAACCTGGAGTAACTCCCAACCAGCACAATTACCAAGGTCTAAAAATTTAACTGCTTCGATAAGACAGTCATCTGCTAAACAGTATCTGTGCAGAATAGATGAAGAGAGAACTAATCAAAATAATGCCCTCAGTTGTTTGGTCCTCGAGGTAATAGATGAAACTACAGTAATTTGGAGTGACTGGATACAAATAAATGCGTTTTGTAACTTTGAAAAAGTGTAGTATGGTTATTTGTTAGTGAGATTTTGAATTTATATTAAAATAATACTTAAAATAAAATAATTATGATCTGATGTAGAAGTAGAAGAGAGATGACGTGAATTGATGGTTAGTTAAAAATATTTGAGTGAATGAATAGTGAATTAAAGTTAATATATTGTTATTGTTTAATTATACTAAATAGTAAATGAGTTGAGTTAAAGTTGGGTTAGATTTTGAGTATTGAGTATGAATTGAGTATATTTGTAAACAAACACATCCTTACTCTCTCATGGCTTGGACATCGAGTTCGAACGTGTTCTCGATAAGCCTCTGGTAATTCAACACACGAATAACAAACATCTTAGATTAACAAGACAGAAAAAAAAAATACATATAAAACTTAATTAAAATGCCTATAATGAATGACTCACTCGCAATGAAAGACTGTCCATGACTCCTGCTTCACAAAATGGGACGAAAACTACGTACGCTAGCAGAAGACCAGCTTCATATCTGTGTCGAATAAATAATAAAAGTGAGCATACAGATTAATGTTCGTTGAAAGTAATTAACTAGTTTGAATTTAATTCAAAGATGAAAACAAACAAGGTCGATACACAGTACATGTCATCTGCTACTCCGAAGGCTCGTTTCTCCATTGAAGTGAAAGCACCAGCAGCAGATGCCCTTCTCCAGAGTCCTTCGAACAATGTCTTTGACCCACCCTCTAGCTCAGTGTGCCTTCAAAACCCATTAATTTTCTCATTTACTAAGCAATTTGAAGTAACTAATTTGTAATAAAAAAGAGTATAATTATTATTACTATTTGTTTAAAGATACTAGCATACCTTATATCAACTGAAAAGGCAAGATCTCGTAACTTAGGGACAAGATAAGTAGCATCTTTTTCTACAATTGTACTGATATTTGAAAAAAAAAAAAATTATTTTTCACACCGGAAATTCCAAAAGAGAACAAATTACATTTGTCCAATCGAAATTTTAGGAGTCATACTTGAGAACAACAGAAGAAGGTCCAAGACTCTGGTGTAATCTGTCACAGTCATGCATGTAACACAGGCCTCTAATTACTCCCTGAAGCAGTTTAGTAACATAATACCTTCTCCTCTTTATAGTTTCATCTTTCTCAAAAGGATTCCATAGTCTTTGTACTCCAAGATTCGACATCTTCTCACTAGCAACCTTTGCATAGTCGGCAACAGTGTACTTTCCATCATAACGGAAAGCAAGCCACTGCATACAACAGATTTCACATAATAATAATAATAATAACAATAGTAATAATAATAGAAATTATAATTAGCATGCATGGCCTGCATACCTGCTCACCCATTTTTGTCTCAAATCCTCCAAGAAGCATTTGAATATTCTTGCAGGGTATACTTTCTGAATTGGTCTGCAATGATTGTTTATATCATGTTCAAAAAAGTATATCCGTTTCAGGGGTCTGCAAAAGAACCAAAAAAATCACACTACTTGAAGGG